GATGGCTGGGACTAAGCCGTATAGATAGAAGCACCAGCAGGTGGATTAGATGAGGAGTAATGAACAACGGGGCAGAGTTAGACAGGTGAATGGAGTGAGCAATTAGGCCAGCCATCAGGGCCAAGATCATGAGAGATGGTTCTGGTGGCTCTTCTCTCTGGCAACCCTCTGATGCCAAGGAGCCTGAATGCCTGGTACACCGTTTGACTTAGGAAGCCCCTGGAGCCCACTTCTATGGGCTCCCAGCAGGCCCTCCATCCACAATAACGGGCCATGGCTAGCAGTCCAGTTGTGGCCTTACCTTCTCCCCAAGCTTTCTCTTCTGCCCTAACAGATATTGTTCCTCAATGGAGACTGATGCTTTGACTGCTGGATTCCAGTGCAGATGGTGTTTGCTACTGCCTTTAACACCTGGTTATGTTGCCACGTGTACCTCCCCTCTCCTAGCACTTTAGGGCAACAGCTCAGAATGTGCTCCATGGGACCATGAGCTGGGCACAGTGGGCCTGTTGGTGCCTCTGCAAGGCCCCAGGTGTAAAGGCTAGATAGACTTGGATGGACATCACACACAGATTTTATCAGGAATTTAAGTCTTGCTGGTTCAGACTTGATAGATATTCACAGAATTAGGATACTGTCTTGGGGATATATTTTTCGTGGGGCAAATTGGTCCTGTCACATGCAAGTAGTAATTCTGCAGGGCCGTACTCAATTTGTTGCAGCGGCATCTGGTAGTAGCACTTTTGGTGGAAACTGGATGTAATAGTGGCCCTTCTGGTAGCACTTCCGGGGGCAACTGGAGAATAGTGGCACTTCTGGTGACACCCTCACTGGCATGCGACTGCCCAAAAGGTGTCATGGCTGTTGCCGCTAACCTGTTAGTCTATAATAACTTCCCAATAATTATATTTTATTTATATTATTTCTAATAAAACCTTGTGGGACTTTCACCAGCCGCCTGCCACAAGGTGTCACTAAGTTCTACCTGGCCAACTTCTATTAATTTTTATAGGCAAATGTTTTGATTTTTGATTTCATGCCTGCTCTATATTTACTTTCAATTAATGACGTGCTAAATTCACATTATTTAATTTACATTTTAAAAAATTTAATAAAAAAAGTTATAAAGTTACTGTTTGTGTGAATGGTGTGATTCGTGATAATAAAAAATAATGTGATGATATGAAAAAAAATCACGTGGAAATACACTGGCACACTTATTAAGTCAGTGACTGTTTGGTGCCACAAAGTTGCCGCGATATTGCCATAAGATGCCAGGATGGTAACAAGATGCTAAATCAGCTATAAAAGCCTTCAACATCCCTCGGCAGCTGCTACTCTTTTTATGGAACCAAAGCTGATTATTGGCAAACGGGATGTCAGGATAGTTATGTGTTACTGGGTAAATAATTAATAAATAAGTACTTTCAATGGAGGGTGTCATTTTCATATTATTAGGGTTGGACCCAAAATATAAAGATACTTCAGATGTAAACTATATGTCCTTATGTATATTACACGCTAAAAGGATGGCAAAGACTCACTTCACGAACAGTTGGTTTATTATACAGTGTGAGAGCTTACTGTAAGTTGTTACAGAAAAAGAAAATAATTTAAAAACATGCTGGTACCCGGTAGAATTCCCTGGCCACAAAGATACCAGCGAATGGGAGAAGATGCCATGGTAAACACAGAAAGTGTTTACTGTTACATTGGCTGCGATAACTTTATTACTGACAAACCTGCCAGGATTAGTAACTATTGTTCATCAAACATTGCAAAAACCTTGAGATTTTGCAAATCAACAATGTTCACAAACAAAAAATAAAAGTTCAGCTGGAGAGTTGTCATGGTAATCTCCCTCCCACTTCTGTTTGGCCTGAAGGGTTTTAATTTGTTTTCTCTTGTCCATAAGAAGTACTTTGGGAAATGTAACTCTACCTTCAAAAGTCATTTTTGGCACCAATCTGCTGCAGCGTGGCTTAGAATAGCCAAAATGGAAAGTGGGGCTATCTGGCACCCACTTTGTTGCCATGGGAGGTCATGGAAATCAGTGGCAGGGTGTCTTGCACCTGCTCTGGTGCTGTGGCAGGTCATGGAAATCAGTGGCATGCTGTCTGGCACCCGCTCCGATGCAGTGCCACTGCCACTGCTCCAATGCCAGGTCAAAAATTTGTGGCAGGGCATCTCGTATGTCCGCAGATGCTATGTGCCTGCTGTCCTCCAACAATTTGCTCCAAAGAATACGTCTACAACACCAAAGGTGCATACACACCAGAGGGTAGGTCTGGAGCGAGGTAAATGGTGTGTTTTTGATTGATTTAGATAAAAAAGACTGCTATCACCCCTTAGAAGTATGGCAGAAAAATATGCAAGAGTTGAAAAATCCAAACATTTGATCATAAATGCGTTGCAAAAAACAATCAGGGACTACATGTAGATGTGGCTTTGGCCTACAGTGAAGGGAGTGTAGGGAGATGAGGTTTATAAACAAAATGGAAGATAGAAAAAAAATGCGGAAAAAGAATTAGGTAGGCAATGCTCTTAAGATGTTTGTAGGCGGCTTTTAAAAAAGCCATCTTAATGTAGACTTAGAAGGACTCTTAATTGTCCTCGCTTAGCTCCTGTACAGGCACCGGTATTTCGCTGCCTTCTCTCCCCACTCTGTGGCTCTGTCTGACAGATTGGTTGCTTCGATGCACCACTGTACTCCTTTAATCCACTAACTAGCACTGACAAGTTGCATGCTCTCCCCGAAACTGGAAGCATTTCTGGTGGACCCAGGGACATCGATGGTCGCAGCTTTGCTCAGTTTCCCCAACTGCAACTCTCTCCGTAATTCCATATCTGCCATGTTAACGTGAAACCACCATCCAGCAGATTTGATTATTTAGTGGAGCCTTTGCCTGCTGTGTGAATTTACCCACATTGCAAATTACTTTTGCAGGACAGTCACATTTCTGGCATAAATTCAGGCAGCAAAAGCCCATAAAACTGACTATTTTTTTTTGGCAGGTTTAGCTTTTGAAGGTACCATATCACAAACACTTGTTATATAAAAAAAAAAAAACTACTAAAATAGCACCAACAAAAAAAAAGACCTATTTAGATAACAGATTTTTAAAAAATCAGTTGAGGACATTTCTCCTTCGACCACGGATCCACTGCTGGAATGATTCACATACCTTAATCTAATAGTGTAATTTTTTTGTTTTTAGGGTGCAGTGTTCTTTAGCTAATCTAAATCTAAAGATTATATGTGGCCTACAACTTCATCTGATTTGCTGTTATTCATGCCCCACTTCGTGATTACTTGGCAATTTACTTATTAGAAGGTTATGTTTTTAGGAGAGTTTTGTGTGTGTGCTTGTCTGTCTGTCTGTGTACAGGATAACTTGAAAAGTTATAGAGGGGTTTTGATTATTTTTTTATCAGAGGTGTCCCTGATGCCAAGGAAACAATCCATTACAGTTTGGTGATGATCCAGATCATAATCTGGATACACGTTTTCTTATATAAATTCTCTAACATTGAGACTTGAGTTCATGCTGCTCCTGAAAGAAAATTATTTGTATCACATTTTGTAAGGTATATTCTACAAACCCAGTAACCTAATTTTTCACATATGAGAACATCGAGATAATTGGAAAACCCTAAATCAACAATTACTGGTGCCCTTAATACTTTTGGCAATTCAAACACTAAATGTTGTGTTTATATGGGTATTCCTAAAGGAATTGCTTATTAGGTAGTGTTTGACAGTGGTAAGGCTTGGCCTTTGCACATCCACAGGTACCAATAGTGGCTGTTATTGGTCTTCTTGTATTGTTCATTTGGGTGCCATGTAACATTTGTTGAATATAGCAGGTACAATAAGGATGTATTATTTTCAATGATAAAGACGCCATTTTTTGTTGATGTGCTTAGAGGCTTGTGAGCATATGCAAATTGCTCTAAGTCTTGATAGTCAATTTGCTGGCATTAAGCTGAGGGGCTTCAATTTCACAAACCAGCAATGAAGCAAGTCCAGCCCTCTTCTCTCTCTTCATATCTCATTCCCCTCTCTATTCGTTCTCACAGCTTGACATTTTCAGTCTTGGCGTCTCCCCTCATTTATCCATTTCTCCCTCCAACCTCAGCTCTCAGCGGAACGTTTGAGGCAATAATTGAATAATTAATTCCTCTCATTAGCTTGTTTTTAATTATTTCCTTGCCCCTTTTCTATGCAGTGTATAAACCCATCCGCTGTTTTTTATATCCCTCAACACAAATTACCCATGAAAACTGAGGGCAGTCATGAGTGTAGCCTTAGCACACTAGCTTTAGCATGGACTCCTAATGAAAGGACGTGAAGACCAGGCGGAACCAGCCTAACATCCGCTTTGTGCACCGATAGCCACAGTGTTAATTTAGCTCATTTACTGTCCTTGGGCCAATTAAAAAGAGGTGAAAAGGTCCTGATCACCAGATGGAGCTGCTTTCTTTTTAGAAAGCTGGTCTTGGATTGCATAGGGCCAGACAGTGACAAACAGAGCTTGTGTGGCCAATTGCTTATCTGATTTCAATGTTTTGTACTAATTTAATTTGTGATCCAGATTGATCCAACAGATTCAGGTCCTTTTAAAGACCTTATTATTTTTGGCACAGATTTCTTTCCAGCTAAGTTGGCAAATGGTGCAAAACTGTTATTCTTGTGCTTCTTAATAAATAATGTCATTATTAAAAACAATGATAGAAACAGACCCAAAGTCATCTCACAATTCAGATGTGACTGCAATGTTCTGGCATCCTCTCAGTCTTCTCCTCTATTCTAGATGTTGCTTTCATTTTGTTTGTGTTTGAATGTGATTAGTTTGTTTTTAATATCATAGCAGATGTATTTTGGTATCCCTTATTGCTATACTATTGATATCTTATTTTCTTATTCTTTGTTTCATTTGCTCTTTCATTTGCTTTTTTCACTGACTGAGCCTTTGTGTTGCATGCTTGTCATGTCGCAGTTTGATCGTAGCCACACAGTCAGCAGCACCATGGGCATCCAAGTCAACAAAGGTAAAGTTAACCCCACTTAACCCCTTCACCACCTTCCTAACCCCATCATTTCTTGAAGTCCCATTGCTCAACCACGTCCAGACATGACTTTTGCTTCAGTAGTTCAAATTAAGTGGAATTTAGGTGGCTAAGGTTGGGTCTTTCTTATGATACTCTAGATGAAGCTTGTAGAAACAGCTTTTAATAATTTGATTGTAATGTTATGTATCTCTTTATGATCTTTGCAGTCATTATGAGGATTACTATCCGCTAGACTATGTGCATATTTTCAGAAAATGACAATAACAAAAATGGGTAAATGGGTTCTGTGCTGCATAGAAGTGCGCAATTCTTTTTGGTTATACCATCACTTTTAACTGTCAACATGCCCTGGGGGAATTAACTGGTTTGTATTGTTTGAAATTACTTTATAAACATATCTCTTATCAGTTATGTGACTTTCTTTTGTTTTGCTTTTAATCTGTTTAATGTTTAATTTGGTGAACTGACAATATCCCTAAGTGTTACACCAAAAATATGCACTGCAAAAACAGAAAAAAAAACATTGATTGTGAAAGTTGTAAGACATTAGATAAGTGTTGAAGCTTCATTGTCTGAAATTGTCCAGCTTAAATACACATTGTGACAAGTTATTTATTAAATCTAACATATTAGAGGATTTACTTATAATTTGGTTCAAATATCATTTTAGATCTGATTTTAGATTTTATTTTATTTTAGTCTTTTATTTTTCAAACACTTTTACTACAAAAACCTAAAAGGGTCAAAATGAATGTGGTCAATATTACACACAGAAATTAGTAAATTGGAGCATACTCATAAAAAAAAAAAACTGGGCTTTGATGAGTAAAAATAACTCTAGGATGATCACAATTGTTCATAAGCCGTCTTGCCAAGAGAACTAAAACACTAGACGTAGCTTCTACTTTTAATTTCCTTTATTTTTCTTTGTTTTAATCTTACCTAGTGATGCTACTACCAGTAGGGGGACATGCAGTCTCTACAGTCACTTTAAAGGCTGTAGAACTTTCTTCTTTAATTTTAGGATTTACATTTCTAAATCAATAGTACATGTAATACAAACAGAATGTCTTTGCATGAGTAATTACAGTAGTGCTATACAATATTTTTTAAATTCAGTGCCTACCTTCAGGGGGTGCGCAAATATTTCATTTGATCAAATAACCTTCGACTGTCATGAGTCTGTGAACACAAACCCATATAACTGTGTGTAAGGACAACAAATGAAAATGTGAATCGAGTTCTAATCATGGTTAGACAGTTAACTATGCACAGATATGGAATACATTCACAACCTTATTTTAAAATATAGCATTTTATTTTAAAAAATCCTTCAACTCCAAGTCAGACATAATTGTCTGACTTCTTGACTAAGCTAGTAAAGCTAAACTAAACTAAGCTACTATGTAGACAAAGGAAAAATTAATGAAAATTGATTGAAAACCAAGATTAATAAAAGGATGCAATGATATAACACTTCGACATAATTTTATGTTGTAGAATCAATTTTATCTTAAAGAGTTTGTAATGAGATCAAATTGGATTTTAACAAATTTAAAGCATTTAGAATGTGTTCAAACAAATTCATAGTACAAATCCAAGGAAGTAAACTAAATATTATTTGGTTAACTAATACTAATGGTTTGCAATAATCAGATTGTTTGCAAGAGTCAGATTGTTGTTATTGTTTATAATATCTAAGATAAGTACAACCTTGTTTTTTAGCTTGGTCGGCTCATTAAAACAGTGTACCGTAGCTATTATTTAGCAGGCATGAAGGGACTCAAATAAAAAACTTTGGTATTCAATTGCAATGAGCATATCAGGGAACACAAATAAACTTTAGAGCTAAATTTGTTTTAAAACACTTTATGAAATAGATATTTTTTTAGTTTATAAACATGTCCATTCCTGTCAGATGCTCAGTGCCCCCAGTGTCTGGTATCCCACAGTTTTCTGCAAGAGAAATTGCAGAAAGTGGTATTTTTATTTTTTTTTGCAAGAATCAGTTCTGAGATGTTCACTCGGCTTTAGACTTTTTCTTCATAGTCAAGTTACACCATTAGATGTTTTTTTAATGTCTGCCACAGATTCCTTTTTAATTTAGATTTTACTTTACATGCATCTAGAAAGTTGTGTGTGAAATGGAGGGAAAGCGAAAAAGGATTCTAAAAATCTCACAAACACCTTTATTTCTCTCAACCCTCCATTAATCAGTGCTTTGTAGACTTCCTGTCACAGAAGTTATATACTACAGTCTTTTTGGTTATGTGTCTACAAGCTCTGCTCATCTAAAGCCTGGAGTGACAACGGATGCAGGAATCTGTCATGCAAATCAAGGGTTGCTGGTTTGAACCTCAGCTCCACCCACCTCTTTGGTTGTCCCCTTGGGCAAGACATTTTGTCCGCTTTGCCTACTGATGGTGGTCAGGGGGCCTGCTGGCACCTATGGATGACAGTGTGTGGATGTCAGTATCCCCCAGGGCAGCTGTAGCTATATTTCAGCTTCCTTATATCACTGTGTGAATAAGGAAATAACTAAATTAATCACTACTATCCAGAAGCCCTTCTCCAATCCAGAGAGTAAAATATTCACCACACAATAAGTCAGAGAGTTAATGTACATTCTTTCTTGGTTTAGAAAAAGCTGTACAAAACATTATATTTAAAAAATATTATAAGTAAAGTGTAGATTAACGTTGTTGTCAGAAGGCAGGCTTGTGCCTTAGCCTTTTTCTTTATATATGATATTAGGCCTAAACCAAACTAAACTGAACACCCTGACATGAAAACATACTATGCAAGTACAGTCCAACTATCTCCCCCTTTGTAAAGTTTTTAATTTTAGTAAAATACAAATTAATTTACAAAGTGCAGTTCTTCCCACAGATTTTCATCCAAATTTAAGTCTGGAATTTGCCTGGGTAATCTTAAGACATGAGAACGTTTTGTTCTAGCTTATTCCATTGTACCTTTGAATGTAAATTTTGGGGTTATTTTTTAGTTATAAAGGGAACCTCCAACCCCATCTATTGTTGTATTGTGTGGATATTCTCATGATATTAATGTGTACTTAGCTTCATCTATTTTTGCATTAACTTTGAGCTGCTTAACAGTCATTAAGGAAAAAAAATTAATTTCTAGAGCATTTAATTCAATTCAATTTAAAAAAAAAAAAAGTATATTAATCCCAAAGTGAAATTCAAGTAGCATGTGGTAATAATAGTAGCATGATCTTTTCACCAATATTATTAATTGTGACCATAACCCTAGTTTGTTCCTACTCTTACCCATTGTTAGTTGTCCTCCATAAAGTACATACTGTAGCTTTGTATCTCAAATAGTTCTATTTGATTCTTTAGATCTGACCAGAGCCCGCTCTTTCATGTACTTACTGTGTTTTCTACATTGATTGCGAGCAACTGTAACTCAACTATAAAAGAAGATTTAGAATTTCAGATATATTAATGTATTCTAGCAAATAATGCGCAATGAAATAAACTGAAGTTTATGACTTGTTTGGTGACAAGCTTTGGAAAAGTTTAAGGGGTGTGGAAACTTTTATAAAGCTCTGACACATGGAAAATACAAATACAGCCTGCTTAAGAATATTTCAGACATTTGCAAAGAGAATTGGTGATACAGCTGCTGTGCGAGTATGTGCACATGTTAGAGGTAGCAAGATGGGGAGATGGGTTAAGGGGAAAGCAGTAAGCAACAACTGCCTCTTCACCTGATTAGGGTGTAGGAGCACTGTTATTGTCCTAAGGCAGAGTTGTCAGTGACTGCGATCCCTCACTTCCCATTCTTTTTTCCTCTTTCTCTCACCCCTACACCTTGTCCCCTCCCACTCATTTCCTTACCACAGAGGAAAAAGAGATGGAACATTCTGCTTGCCAGAGGTGAAAATAACTCATTGATTGTAAGAAAAGTGTGTTTCTGGTAAAAAGAGGAGGGATGAGATTGGTGTTTTGTGGCAAGGAAGGGATGAAGACAGGCAGAAATGGCAAAGGGGAATAGATACACACGCTGTAGAGGCACAATCGCGTCAGCCATAGCCTCCCAGGAATAAAGTTCGGCTTAACTGCAGCATTACCAACAAGCCTGCATTACAAAATGTTCCTTCGCCAGCATTTAGCATGCAAATTGGCTTCAGATTATGCCTTTTGTATTCATTTTACAAACTGTCAGGCTATGATGTGGGAAGAATGATAATCAGGCAGATATTGCCCCCTAGCGCTTCACTGACAATCATCACACACTCAAAAAAAGGGTGGGGGGATGGCAGGATAGGAAGGTGGGGGCTTGTGCTCTGCTGCAGAGCACAGAGTTGTGTGAGCATGCCAAATGAGGAGATAGACTGGAACACAGGGTGCAAATAACTCAAAATGAGTTACATGTGAATATTTTGCAGTTGCTGCAGTAAAGCAAAAAAAAGGATTATGAAAAATGGATCTAAAGAAAGCAAAATAATAGAAGCTGCAGGGAGTTACCATGAGAAGAAATTGGAGAACTAATACAGTTGTGCTCTCTACTCATGAATTTGTTTAGCTAAAAACCGGTTTATGTAGACAGGTTGCAAATTAATAGCTGAACCACGCAACTTGTTGCACTGTGTACGTCTTAAGCATTAAGAGTTTTGGCTTAGGCTGTTATGATCCTTAGCTACCTTGGGCTGTGAACTAACGGAATGAATTTAGAAAAAGCCTATGAAATTTAAAATTATGTGTATATTAATACATATCATCATTTTATTTTAACTTCTGTTTAATTTTAACTAAAATTAAAATCAATTAGATATTTCCTTTTTTTTGGTAAATTACCATTACAATTCCCCCCTTTTTCTAAATTTGAGAAGAACAGAAATACAAATTATTAGAAATACAGGTCTCTATATTCAAGTGAATTAACAAACAGTAATCTTGCTGTTTATGTTGTCTTTAGCCTATTGGCTTCCTGTTCTCCGAATGGCCTTTTACCTTGTGCAATGGATCAGTTATCAGCTTCAACCGCCATCTTGGCAATTTCCTTTTGCTTTTTATCTAGTTTGTCCAAGCAAAAAGCATCAAAGCAGGCTTAACTTTAGATCAAAAACAGAACTGGTTCTTTCTTGAATGTATGATTGTACATTTAATGTAGTTTTTAAAGTCGACTCTAATTGTTTAGACACATATATCTGGCAGGCTTAACCATAAAGAAATTACAAAGGAAAATTAAGAATGTTTAGTCTTAGTTGGTGTATCCCAGTAAGAAGAAGAAAAATAGTGAATATCCATTTTGTTTACATCAAAATGCATACAATGCATTTATAAAATGTTTTAAGTATTTTGCTTGGACACCACACTTACAGACACAGCAAATGTTCTTGCTACAGCTTGGATTGATGTGCCATTCTGGATGAGCTGCACTACCTGAGTCACGTTTTGCGGGTTGTAGAGTTCGTCTTATACTACCAGGAGTGTGAAAGCACCACCAACATTATAAAGTGACCAAAACATCAGCATAGGTGCTGAGTAGTTGTCTGTGGTCCCCACCTGCAGAACCAGCCTAAGTTATGCATAATGCACAGCAGCATAATGCCCATGAAATGTCACAAACCAGTGTCCTGTGGGGGGCAGCAATGGCCCGGAGGCACCCAGCCATCTTGAAAAGATTTTTTTGATTGCGGATTTAACCTAGCTGGTATTTACCGCCCGCAAAAAACATAAAAATAAAAGAATAATAAATAAATAAAAAGAAAGAAAGAAAGAAGGTTTGCAGTGGCAACAGACTCAGCGTTATGTTTGCTAGGAAGTAGCAAACGCTGCCAATATGCCTTTATACAGTAGCCGTAAGTTAGAAACACGTTCAGTGGTCATCTTGAACACGTCAAATAGGTTGATATGCATTAGAGATAAGTTCTTAAGAAGTTACTCATAGGTTTTGGATAAGCTAGACACCAACAGTTATAAGTAACTTACTCTTAACATATGTTAACGATCAAATCACTTACCTCTAACCTTATGGCCCAAGTATAGTATGCATATTTGCCGTATGTTGACGTCTGCCAGCTTGCTTCAGTGTGCTTCAGCGTGCTCAAAACTTACACAAAACTGACCCATAACTTATCCAAAGTATGCCAGTTTGCCAGATTTTTTGTACGTCAGGCATACACTGGTCTAAATCCTCATAGTTTGACAGCGGCTTAGGAGGAAAGTTTGTTTACACAGAAGTTTGATGTGATTGAAGTTATATTGTGTTGTTTACATGTTCCCTTTTTTTTAACAGTTTACATATAATCTTAGATATTATTTATCGGCGCTGTCGGGGAAAAAACCTTGTAACTCCCATTTTGGACTACGATTGGTCAGTCCCCATGTGTGAACGTATGTTTTGGAAAATAAAAAAGAAAAAAGTCAAAGTTATCAACCTTGCCGGCGGCGGCATTGGTACTGATGGAACTCGCATCTCCACAAGTCACTAGTCAAAAACCTCATAGCTCCATTTTGGACATACGAGGTTTCCGTCCGACAGCGACGATATCTTAGAAAGCCATTTTGGAAAGCCATTGAACAAATGTTGCTTCTTAAGAAATTATTATATCCAAAAAATTTTAGTTTTAACCTTAATAAGTTATCTAAAAATAAAAAACAAAATTAATCAGTTTTTTTTTTACAGTGAAGTGATTATACCATTTGGCAACAAAATAGAGAAAATCATACTTCGCTTCACAACGAAACTGTGGAAGCAACATTCTCCTTTCTTCTCAACAAAGTACAATGCGAATTAACATTGACTACTATCTTGTTACATAGAAATAGGATTGATATCTTAAAAAATAAGATCTCCCGGCAAGAATTATTATTGCTGCTTGAAGTTACAATGCCAATCATACAGTATGTAACTTTAGAGTAGATCTTTTCACAGGTAAAGTTTGGAGTCAAAAATGCTTTTCCATTAGAGTTTGGTTTTGAAGTTTTTTTTTTGCTTTTGGTTCTGAAAGTTGGATGAGATTTTAAAACAGCAATGTCACTAATCAGCCTCCAAAAACTGAATTCTGAAAAAAGGAATTTACTCAAACGTCTATTGTGGTTTTGATTGAAAAGAAATTATACTAGAAAAACGTGTCTGCTTTTACCGGATCCATACCACAGTAATATCTTTACCTAACATTGATCCTTTCCCATTGTCATCCTTCTCCCAACAGGACAAGTCCAACCCAGAGGACCAGAGCTCCTGGGAAACCTTCAAGACTATGACCCCTGAGCTGTCTATCGTGCCTGGGGAGCAGAAAGACCGTCTAGAATTGCACAATAAGACATGGGACTCTTCCTCGGCGAACACACCGGACTCATCTGAGGGAGACTTCCAGACGGAAGTGTGAAGACACGCAGACACTCATGCTCTCTTTAATCACAGACTTAAGCTCATGTTGAGATACAAACACACATAGACGCAAGCCTCCCGGAAAAAATATATATGTAGGTTTGATTTCCTGCAAAGGATCTCAGACATTCTGCTCCCTGCCTCATGCAGTGTGCTTTGATGGATCCCATACTGTATTTGTTTACAGCTGCTGAGGACATATACGAAAGGAAGACCGTTCTTCGCTCTATTTTCGCAAAGACTTTTGGGGGGAACATAGAACAGGGGCCGGAAAGATATGTCACTAAATGAACATAAAGGATAAAAAAAAACATTATTTCTGAGATAAAAGGTCTCAATTTTATTCTTAAAATAAAAAGAAAACGTCTTACAAGTGTTTGATGATGACCTGGGAAGGGTGGTCTGGGGCGGGAGAGAAAAATAACAATATTTCTGCACTCTTATTCTTTTTTTATATAGCAAGGGGAAGATTTCACCTAGAACCCCAAGGCAATCTACTTTCCTTTTTTTCTTGTTCTTTTAAATGGATGATGAAAGTATCCAGTCACTTAATCTTTCCTATGTGTTTGCTTTCTTTTTGTCAAGAGGGAATAAGGTATGAGAGGGAGAGACAGCGCTGCTCACAGATTATGTGCCATTCTCTTACATGTCTTCATGTTCTGGTTTCTTCTTGACCCACTTTCTCCTTTGACACCCCATTACCTAATGTTATTTTTTATTTTTTTAGCATTTTCTATTGTTATTGAAAGGAAGGATCATTCCCCTCTGCTCTGTCACTTGAAAATGGCCAACAAATGACAACCAATTCACTTTTGTTCCATAGATTTATTGTTCAATGCCCTGTCTGTTTATGATCAGCTGATTTATTTCTACTGATACATGCTTGAGCTGTCTGCAATTTCTTTTTTGTCGGTTTTTCATGTATGAAGAGATTTAAATTACATAAAACTTTAAATGCCTTGATATACCAGAGCACATGAAAGTGAGATGACATTTTAACAGGATATGGCAGTCATAAAGATTGTAGCCTCTTTGTTGTTCTTTTTTTTTTAAGTTTAAGGGTTGCATGATTTGAGCTGTTGCGAGTGGCTCTCGGTTAATCGCCCCTTTGCCAGTTTGTACCCCCCTTTCATAGCTATGAATCATCAATTCATTACTTTCTATTTACATGAAATACAAAAAAGGAAAAAAAAAAAACATTTCTTACCAATGTATTTTACCATGGCATATGATCATTTTTGTTGAAGTATTTTCGTGAATTTTCAAAATAAATGTTCATCAGAAAAATGTAAACATTTCAGTCATAGCTCAATCAAATTATATACAAGTGTCTTGAAAGTTTCTATTACACTTTATTCTTGTCAATTTCTTTTCCAATTATTTATTTAGCAGTGCCCCATTTTGGACAGTTGACCCATGATATGACTTTGCTACGACTGACATTTTAATATATCTAAAGGGCCACAAGCAAAAATAAAGTTCTAAGGGCCACACGTCACTGAAGTTATTGAGTCCATAAGATGGAATATAAATTGAATATAGAAAAAAACTTCAAATGTGCAGTTATCAAAGCAGAAACAAGAAAAATGACTGTTGGGTATAAAAGCTGGTGTGGTTGTTTTAACGCCTAGTTGTGAAAGGCATAGGCTTATACCTGATAAATATCAAAGGTACTAAATGGCAAAGGGGCAAAATGACCAACACCTGTCAAGAGTCACTGTGGTTCCATCAAATATTGCCAGTGATTAAATTTTAGCCAACATGGGTCCAATATAGGTACAACTGTTCTTACAGAGCTATGAAAAAGTATTAGATGTCCTGCAGATTTCTTCTGCTTTGTTTTCTTGTCACACCATTTTTTTCAGATTATCAAACACATTTTATTATCAAAGATAACACAATGAAATATACAGCTTTCAAATGCTTTTTGTTAAAGACACCCATGATAGATGAAGTCCAATAACTGTCCAATAATGCTAAGGCAACTTTGCTTGCTTTATCAGCTGAGAGTAATACATTATTTTGAGGCAATTAAGAGAGAAAACAAGAGAAAAACAACAGTCTTAAACGTTTTAGCATCCTCTTAGTTTCTATCTCCTGGTTCGAAGTTTGCTTGGATCAATCTATCTTGTCACTGTGATACTAAAAACAAGGATAAAAAGAGTTAAAAGATAGGACTCATGCTGACTGAAAACTCATTAGCGTCAGATAAAAAATAATTTTCTATATACAAAATCTTTTTAAATGCTTAAAAACCCTATGATTTTCTTTGGTATACTATCTCTACCTCCTTGATATCGCCTGCTCAGAACTCAGAAACATGAAATCTTAATGCAACAAGCAGCAAGGCCAAATGTATAATTACTTGTTTCTATGGGTTCAACACTTTGTGTTTATATCTGTGGGCCTGTGAGCACAGCAGCTGCAAAAAGAGAGCACAAAAAAGACAGTTCAGAATAAAGAGGAACTAAATTGTACACTTGGAATGATTCTAATGCCCATACTGCGGTTATTAGAAGAGAGCTGCTGGTTTCTTATTATTGCTGCATTAGTTCAACCTAGAAAGTGTTGAGGGAGATGATAATTCTTCTGAGGAATGTCCAAAAAAAGGTGGCCAAGATAGATTTCCAAATAATGCTGGTTAAAATCTCAAAACAGGCATTGATGAAGACAAAGGCAAGCGTTTAAAACAGTAATTATCCAGAGGATGGTAAGTTGCCCTGAGATCTTCTAGTGCTGCCCTCAAACCATCTGCTTAAGGCTCCCTAATGTGGTGGTAGAGCAGCGCAGCGCAGATGGCAAGACAAGAGTGGCGCCCCTCTAACCTTTCAAGCAAATCAGCTGTTAGGCAAGCCTACAGCTCCACCTCTCTCTGAGGAGGAAGACTGATTTGATCCCAAGTTGCCAAAGTAAGGTCACATTCCGATGATCTCCTGAGAAGCATTGGATCTAGATCCACCAAACAAAGCTTCCATCTGGTAGCTTCAAGGCCAAACTCCGTAGCTATTACTCCTCGGTATCTACATTTTTTTTTTGTATCTCTTAAACAGATCAAATGAAAAGGGGGGGGGGGGGTAAAGTCTTGTTCCCATGGTAATGGGATCTGCAGATAAAGAGACGTGTTCAGGTTTGTTTTCGGCATTGTAAGAGAATTTCTTTCAATCAGCCTTATTTTTCATCTTGTATCTGGATACTTTCACACTAATTGATGGTTGGTTTTAATTTTTTATGTCAAGAACAGTAAAGTTATATACTGCTTGACTGATTATAAAGTCTGTCATGCATTGTTCTACATTTCTATTAAAATGTGCTGTAATGTTATCATAACTCTAGGTGAAACCATTTCAACCTTTAGAGACACTCCGTTTTCTCGAAAAGCTTTCAATAATCAGCTGTCTTTAGGGGACATGACACACCAGAAGGCAAATTTTCAACTGAAGTTAAAGTCGATTCAAAAACCTTCACAGCTCACCTTTCATCTTGTCCTACCTGCAAGCCTTTGATTCATCTAGAAACATCCAACATTCCAGCTGATTTTCTTACTAACAACCCCTCACTCCATTTTGTTCTTTTTATACATAAGATTGTACAAAGTAGTCCTCTAATGTTTTCATAGTGTCTTTTTTATATTAAAAATAAATTTTCAAACTGATCTTGGTGTTTTGTATGTGCTACTTCAAGGGCATCTGTTGAAAAATACAATTTAGGCTCTCTCGATTTCAAATTTTCTCGCAATCCCCATGTTTTCTTAATATCACTCAGGGAGTCTGGCATGACAAACGCTGTTACCCAGAGGCACTGAAGCCGAACCATAACCAATCAGAGCGCCCCGCTGGTCTGTCTAAAAATGTTAGAGTAACAGCTATTTGTGTTTGAAATTCTGCTGCTGTAAAACAACCAACAAGGAGTGGGTATGAAGTCCGAATGAATATGATGTTAAAAATGGATAAACATTGAGCAGTGTTTGTGCAAAATAATATTCTAAAGTGGACTCTACCGAAAGTAGTTGTGTTATTTAACCAGGAGGAAGTAGACAGCTCCGTTTTAGTCTGGCTTTATTAGTCTACTCAGCAGTCCTGGACAAGAGCGGAAGAGAGGATTCGATGGTGGACATTTCTCAGACCTCTCCCCATTAACCCTCGGAGGAACCTGTGGATAATTAAGTGTGGATGAGTCTTCCTGTGGACCTGCTATCAGTCACCCTAGAGAAAGGCCACCAACTGGAACCTTCTCCATGGAGTAAAAGGAATGAATGTGGAATAAGAGATGGAAAATCGAGAAAGTAGCCCCCAGGATGAAATGCTAGATGACAGAGTATCAGCAGGAAGGGCATTTTATAATTACCCCTGGAATAGTGATTTTCAGTGATACAAGTGCATTAAGTTATTTTTTTTACCACAGGTATAATAAGAAAGCTGTACTTAAAGAACTTACAGAATGACTGTGCTGACAAATTTTATATGAAACAATGTGAACAAATCCTGAAGGAAAACATGTCAAATTCTTTTGAATTTAAATTTATAAGTTGAACTTAACACATTATTGTATATCACTGCCCCTGCTGGGAGACTGGGTGTGTAAAGTGCTTAAGTGCCCCAATGAGCAATTCTGGAAAGTTTATTATAGCTGAGGCAAGCAAAAAAAGCCACTGAAAAGAGTTCTGCTTTGGGTGGTGATACAGCAAGACACATAAGGCTGTCATTTCAAGTGAAACCTGTAATCCACAATCTTCATGTGTTTCTGTGGTAGTTTCTTTAAAACAGTGCACAAGATACTGGTCAGAGTAGTTATATGAATGTGAAGCCCACTTCACATACAAGCAAAGGAATGCTGGCTGTTAATGGATTACAGCATTATCCACACTTATGCAGCTAGTGAAGAACACAATCTATTGTTTAGCTTATCACACCTGTTTGAAAAATATCCCTTAGATTATTTGCGTATATTTATACAACTGTTATATTTGCTGATGCGACCAGAATGGCAGCTATTAGTTTGAAAAATCATGCTTGAAAAGGATTTTATACTTTGTCATCAAACATATGTGCAAAGCAATACTGGTATGGAGACTTACAGTAGCAGTCATTAAAAATGGCCCCTCCCAGTCAAACACCAGCCGAAAGGCAGCCCACTCCCTGCAGCTCCCTGTAAAATCCCCTACAACTTCCAGCCATTGGATTAACCCACTCTTGCATATTTCTTTACTCTGAATCCACCCTTTCACTGAATTACAGGGTCAGACCAGGAAATGATGCTTCTCTTTAGATCTTAATGTTCACAAATCATGACAGAGAGAATATTTTAGTACAAAGATTGATGTTTTAAAAGGAATTGTAGGGGACCAGCAGAGAACCAGCCAAGGAGAAGCCAAGGACCCATCCAGAAAAGGTGGAAATTTTTTTAATGGCTACAACTGTAAAGAAAACCATATTTTATGCATGTCCAAACTAAAGTGATATTGCTGCCTTTTTCATAAGGTATTTTAATGTCTTTAAAGTATGTATGATGTTTTTGATGTGTTCACATTCTGTGCGTAGAGATAAAAGCTGTGAGATTTATATGCTTCCCATGTGTCAGAACAGATATTACTTTTGCCACTCTTTTGTTTTTGTTTTTTTATTCATACTGTATACTCAAATGTTAGTCTTAACATTTTTCTTATGGGCCTGTTAATGGCATACCCTGCTTTTCATCTAAATTATGCTGAAGAGTGCCATCTGTAACCCTGACCAGAAGATGACTATAAAAAAATGTTGGATGGATATTTGCCAGGGGGATGAAGTTTTAATATTTTGATTTACACCTCAAGTTTTCAAATTTAATTTCAGTTTTAAGCATTCCTGGATGATAAGGTATTTAGATGTTTCTTAATGGATCCAGGACATATAAATGAGGTTTAGCATCTCTGTGCTTCCCTAAGTGTGTTGTGGAGATACTGCAGATGGGGGGTCATTAAGTTTTAGCTCTTAAGCCAAAAAGCCTTGCTAAGACCCACCGGTTGATCTCTTATTCTGATTCCTACCAACAGCACAACAAAGAGAGGAAACACATTTGAACGACTAACTTGCTGTCAATGTTGGACAACTGTATTCCCACTTAGATCAAAAGATACAAAAGGTCTGTTTTGTGTGCAGTCAGCGACTGGTGCAGGTAGCTACAGCAACAATGTTTGTAATCTTCATTTTTTTAAGCCTCTACAGGAACAAAAAAAAAAAAAAAAAAACAGAGATCCAGTGATGCTGGGATTTAATATCCATATGATTGAAGAATCTTTCTCCTTCCATGACTGCCCCAGAGGTGAGGACATAGGAACAGCATGGAAACAGCATCCTTGCCATGCAGAAACATCCCCACAGTGGAAGCCACATTTCCAACCTCACTGTCCATTTGAGGTACATTCAGTTAAACAGACTAGTTCACATAAGGGGTGTTTTTTAAGCAGAAAAAAATTGATTTAGGTTAAAACATGTTTATGTTGTGTTTTGATGTGCTTTTTGAGCTTGATGCTAATGTCTTTTGGGTTGGGTTCAAAAGATACATGCATGACTGTCAGTCTTTATGGTTCTTCTCATATGTGCATCAAGCTGAACAGACTCCCTATTCTTTAGCTATTCCTTATTATTTTAAAGTCAGGTAGAGAAGGGAGCTGATGTTTGTTCTTCAAGGAACCATTACACTACATTTCAATAGAATGTCTACCACTTCCTGGGCATTAATAAAAAAAAGGTAAGACAAAATGACAAAAAATGTCTGGAAAGTACTTACTGAATTCAGTTGTATGGGAAATAACTAGAAACAGGCATAAATCGTTCTTAATAGAAAAAAGTTTCCCCATGGGATTCTAAGTTTGAATTTGGAAAGCATGTGGAACTGTTTAATATCGATGAACAGAATAAAAAACATAATCCTTGTTACAGAATGCTTTCATTTCCACAAGAAGCAGTGGCACAAGTTTGTCATTCCCCTGTAGGCTTTTGTTTAGTATATTAATATGATAAGTAATAAATTACAACGAGAGGTGTGCTAATCAAATCAAAGTCTATTTGCTCCTGAAGTAAGTTTCAAATAATCAATTTCTGATCTCAGGTAATAAAAACGTTGTGTCTTAGCCAGCCTTCTGTAGAATGGTACAGTACATATTTGTGTATCTGTGTTGAGCACCAACATCAAATAGAAAACGTTAAAATTTCTGTTGTACGGCCCTCGTTCCCATATCACATGAAAAGTTTAAACAAGAGTATTCATTACCTCAAGTTATGCCCTCTTTGATTCGAGAGCTTCTTGGTGGATGATGGAGTGCATTTTAACAGAGTCACCTCCACTCTTTCACACCCCCTCTTTTGCTCTCACCCACCTCGGATTGTGCCTCATCCATTGTTACTCGACACAGCATGTCCCATTGGTCTGACATGGTCATCTGCCCTTGTAACAGCTTTTGAACATGTATTTACTTTTCTGTGCCCTTAAGACTCCTGTATTCCACAACCTACTCACACCTCCATAACACAAAAGATGTTGTCAACATCTCACTAACAACGATGCTTTGTCCATCACATCTTGTCTCATCACATGCAGTAGAATGAAAGTCAAAGTCACACCTTTTATTGGAACCTTGCTTTTCTTCATTCCATCAAGTGATTTCTGGGAGTGTTGGGAACCCAACTTCAAAAAAAAAATAACAACTTGCAACTTACCTTTCCCAAAATGTAACTGAGTGAGCAACTCAATCACTACACTATTCAATTAATAATGCTATCACTCTTCATTACCTATTTTTGACTGATTTTTGAGTTATTGTAAATTTGAAATACAGCTTTCAATTCAGTTATCAAATATAAAATTGTTCACTGGCAAAATTAACCAATATCTAAAAATAATGTGCAGTAATCACACTGTGTTAGGTGGGAAATGTGGCAAGGCACCTATTAATTTTAATACATGCAGATATTATGAATGTGCTCATCTGGAATTCTGAAACTGTTGATGGCCAATTAAATATGGACCTCAGGCTGCAGTGATCCTTGGATATAAATCAAGAGAGAGTGCACTGGATAATAGTTGGGGCTCTTCTCTTTTAATGTGGTGCAGAAGAGGATCGTGAGGTGTTTTTGTCAAAGAAAAGTTTTTGCTCCTAAATGTGTTGCAAGATAAATATGGATGGCATTTTATTGACCTATAGCAGAAGATTTCTGACCTAACCATAGGGAGATTGGGGATATCTTGTATTGTCATTTTTTAGTAGCTAATATAATCAACTGTGTCTTAAATTAGTGGCTCCCAACCATCTTCTGACTTTGTCTTACCAAGAGTAGCCCCTCAGTTAAAAATGATTATTGTCCAAAAGTGGAACGTACAATAGCTGATATTAAAAAAAAATCTTTTAAATTGAGCATTTAATCCGTAGGCATTATATTGTTTCCTTCACAAAAAAAAAAACAAACAAAAAAATAAAAAAATATGTTGCCTGGAATTCAGTAAGGAATCAAAATGATATTCTAAACCTATATTTATAAAACTGGAGCTCCTCAGAGTAACTCCCTTATAATCACATTTAAACTTGATGAATTGAGATCGAATTACATAACAAAAATTATAGTCCGACTGACTTAATTAGTTTTACTTTGTTTTCATGAAGACACCTGAGCTGCTTTG